TGGTACCAACTTTTAGTACTCCCTGTATAGCTGGGGGACTGAGAATATTTCAGGCATATTGAAAATGATCGATTATTTTCGGATTTTTGATCCAACTGCAAGTTGGAAAACTTCTGATGTGGGGTCTAGATAAACCTAACCTGTATAGGATTTTTCTCACTGTTCTATACTGTGCCATTCCGAAGTCCGTTCCCCGTTTCTAATTTTTGAACCACCTGGTATATCGCACGGGAATTTGGAGAGCTCAAATAGAAGACGAAATCCTAATTTTTCGAAAGAACGACAGCTCAAAGGTTTGGAATGGCGGCTGAGCGCCATTTTCGAAAATTTCACATAATTCATGACAGTTTCATAGCGTTCATATCTAATTCACTATACTTTTCTCCTTAATTCAATTGTTCTCGAAATTGAAAAAGTTATCGTATTGCAAGAAATGTCAAATTCATCTAGAGGTCCACACTTTCTTTGAGCACTTCATAAGTATACTTTTTTCATACGACATCATAATTCATAATTCAAAAATAATGGGCTTAAATCACAAAAAAAATGTATTTCATAATTCGACAGAACTCACCCAAACTAGCTCACTACCGCAAACCGTTTCTTGCTGTGAGCTCCCTACGTTTTATAAAAAATTATTAAAATCCCCGATTTTTCGGACCCCTGAAAACGAAGCGATGATGTGACGTCAAAACCCTAATACTGAAACAAGATTGTTCCAGACAGAGATGAATGATACATGATTTCTGACAGAGTGAATTAGCGCGAGATCACAGTTGAAAGAATTAATATATCAGTTGCCTCAGTCTCCGTCGGGCGTTTGGTATTTTCTTCCAACTATGGCGAGAAGAGGTTTCTACGTCATAATAGGGCCCGTTTTCAGAAGGTACTATTATTTATGTTCAAAAATAAAACATTCCAGTTAATTTTTCGATCGAATTATGTCGTCAATCATTATTTATGTATAAAAGGATCATTATACACATGGTTTGAGTTAAAAGTTATACTAAGGTGTACACGCCCATTGTGAGCTAGTCTTAAAATGTCAACTTGGAAAGAAATCTGTTCACCTATCCACAATATCATATACTAGGTGTTCGTGAATGTCAAGTACATATTAAAGGAGGTAATCTCTTGGTTCAATTCAGAACTAAAATGTTCTATATTACATAAACATATTTCTTAATAAGATTCAATTTCGAGTTACAGGGTGTCAAAGTTGATAAAAAAATAGTTCTATCCGAATTCTATAGGCAACCGCAGAAGGTGTAAAAATATCAATAGAATTCGTTGTTCAACAAAATATGTTTTATGAGTGTCTATTTTCAGATATCACAGAGATACGAGGATTTCGAGGTTTTGCACATTGAAAATTCAAAAACTGTTTATTTACTTTCGCTGTCTGTTGCTCTTATCAGGTGGTCCAGTTGCATAGCAAATTATCTTGTTGATGGTACGTACAGTTGACTAATTTTATGTTATGTGATAAAGTGACAACCTGTGTTTTCGAAGACGAGTTGATCAATGAAGACAATCTCGAACAATGTAATTGTATATTTTTTCTTCATTCTTTCATCTGCATGATAATGTTTCGTCAAACAACTAATTTTGGTACATTTCTATCTTGTTAAAAATTATCAACTTGATTTTTGTTTGGCTAGGCTTCGCTGATTCGGCGGTCTTAGGACTGCTGGCTGGAGACTACACTGCACTGATGAGAGTCAAAGAGCTCGAAACCGGTCTGTGGTTGTCTAGCGGCCTGGCTTAATCGAAATCAATAGGCATTCAGGAAAGAATCACTTGTATCAATATTCGTTTATACGAGTCGATGCATAGATTTCGGGAGGATGTAATTCAATATCCTGCGTGGCATTAGCCAGGGAAATAGTTGTTTTCTCCCGAAATCTACCATTGTTCATTTTATGAACACTGTGTGGAAATGACTTTGAGCTTTTTACATTTTTTAAAATTTCATTCCACTGTGAGCATTGTGGCTATTTCGTAGTTGACATACAAAGTACCTCATTGGTGTATCGAACACAGTAAAACAAGAGAAATCTTGTGTTATAGCCATAAAAATAGTGGCCTGTTTTATCAGGATCAAAAGTGTCACTTTTGATCCGAATGACACATGCTATTTTCAACCACCAATGTGACTTACTTGACAGTTTATTATAATACCTTTATTATAATAATATAGGTAAGTAGATAGAAGCAAGACCTCAGACTTCTTCACATTATATGTTGGTGGACGATGACTTAACTTTGTTAGAATTTGTGTTGCCATGCATCATCAGATACTACAGGAACGAATTCAATACTATACCCAAAACGTGGATGACGTAGTGCCATATGTTTGCAATACAACAACTAATCCGTGTGCTGAGAATATTCTACCTGCATTTACAGATCAGGTTTATTCAATTTTCAAAGATGTTCGAACTGTAGTTTCAATATAACTACAGAGTGAACCATTTTGTGTATTCTATTGGATCGATGAATTCATTTGGACCAGGCGTCAACCCTAATAGCAAATACCGCGCCAGTGCCTGGTCAGGTTTATGAGCATTCCACTGTGTTTGGCTCGGTAAACGAAAGAAGGTGAAAAATATCGTTGTGTGAAAACAAAAAAGGATTGCTGGTCGTTATTATTCAAAAACAGTTATTCAATTAATCAGATCCCGAGAATGAATGAACTGGGTGTTTTTGGGGGTCGGAGATTATGATTCTCTTGCCAAAATTTGGAAAGGGCGGGATCAGAAAATTCAAGATGGTGGAACCAATATACCGGACGAGTTTTGTAATTTTATACCGATCATATTGTGAGTGGGCGTTTTCGGGATACAAAATTATGATTCCTTCGGCAAAATTAGGGAATTCAAGATAGTTGATTCAATATTGCGGACGAGTTTTGTAATCATGTTCCGATTCTATTCAAAATTTTCATCTGGGGTTGTACGAGTCGGATATTATGATTCTTTCGCCAAAATTGGGAAATTCAAGCGAACTAAAAAGAAGTTGAAATGAATGGTAGTTTGAAAAACTAAAGAAACGCGCTTTTATAGATAGCGAAACTAAAAATGAGTAGAAGATAAAATAATGATAGTGTGGATATCAAACTGAAAATATATTAAAGAAATAATGTATATAGCAAAACATCGTTTGCAGGGTCTGCTAGTATATAATATTTTAGATATTTTCATTGCTTGATGATATTCTCTGCTGAATTTCCAAAATAAACGGTGTTTTTTACTTTTTCACATACCCTGTGTAGGCACGATTGACTCACTTATTCAGAAAGTCGCTAGGTGATATCAGATGGTAAGAGGAACTTCGACCATCATATTATGATGGTTTTATATTTCAGAGAGAAGAGAAACCCTACAAGACAATGACCGATAGGTTGAAGTGGATAGCTAGTATTTAGACAAAAAGCTCTCTTGTGAGGATAATCATTCGACATTTAGAGTTGAAATCGGTGTGGAAATAATTGATAGAATCGATGATATGTGGTGAATTTATAGAAAGAAGAAAATACTGATTTCTTGTGGAGTAGGAAGTTCACATATAGGTATGTACGCCATCACCACCCATCACTTTGTATGATAGATTTCAGATTACTTTCAGCATGCCATCAGATTAACGATGTATTTAAAGTCAATCTTTTTCTGCAGGATAGCTGAAAACCAGAAAAATGGAGTTAGATTACGACTACAGCAGCCCTTGTTTACCAATACAAAAAATTAGCTTTGGTTTAGGCCACATTTTCAATGATTTGTGCGCTGCTATGTGGTTCAGCTACACCCTTTTTTACCTTCAAGTTGTCATATCTATCGACGCGAAAACAGCTGGAAATCTTTTGATGATAGGTAAGGCATTTCATCAATTTCGACATTTATTTTCTACTTATATCTAGAAATTTCGATATTTATGTCGATATTTTGACTGTTATCTCAAAATTTCAATTTTTTTCTCTAAATTTCGGCTTTTATGTCGAATTTATGACTGATCCCGAAATTTCGACAATTATCTCGAAATGTTGACTGTTATCTCGAAATTCCAACAATTATCTCGAAATTCAGACTTTCATCTCAAAATTTGGACTATCTAGAAATTTCGAGTTTTATGTCGAAATTTTACCTTTTATATCAAAATTTCGACTATTTTTTAAAAATGTCGACTTTTTTGTAGAAATTTTGACTGTTATCTAGGAATCTCGATTTTCATCTCGAAATGTTGGCTTTTATGCCAAACTCATGAGTATAATCTCGAAATTTCAACAATTATCTCAAAATTCCGACTTTTTTCTCAAAATGTCGTATTTCATGTTGGAATTTGAACTATTTCGAAATTTTTACTTTTATCTTGTAATTTCGAGTTTTATGTCGAAATTTTGACTGTTATATCGAAATTTCAACTATATTTCTCAATATTTCGACTTTCAAGTCGAAATATCTCGGAGTTCCGACTTTCATCTCAAAAGTTTGGTTTTTATGCAAAAATTCTGACTATTATCTCGAAATTTCAGCAATTATCTCGAAATTCAGACTTTTATTTCAAAATTTCGTCTCTCATGTCGGAATGTAGACTATCTTCGATTTTTATCTTGAAATTTCGAGTTTTATGTTGAACTTTTGCCTGTTTTATAGAATTTTTTCTCAAAATTTCGACTTTTATGTCAAGATTCCGACTCATCTCGAGATTTTAGCTTTTATGCCAAAGTTTTGACTATTATCCTGAAATTTCGACAATTATTTCGAAATTATGACTGTTATCTCTAAATATCGAAATTTCGGCATGGGTAAAAGTCTCTCTTACTGAGACTGAGATATTTAATCGAGAAAAATCTTGAATAAGGTAATATTGACCACCATGTCATTTGCATTTTCCTCAAGATGGCTCCCAATGGCGTCAGAACGCCATTTTGAAAGACATATATTTTTGTCGAAATTAGAATGTGGCACTTGAACACCATTGATTAAAGCAAAGAAAAAACGAAAAAAAAAATCCAGCAGTTCAAAAGTTAACAAGGGAGAGGTTACTTTATGAAGACAATCAAACTATTTCAGGTCAGGTGATGGATTCCTTAGCAACTCCACTAGCAGGATGGGTTCTCGATTACTTCGGACATCGTAGAATTTGGCATTTTGGAGGTACGTACAGGGTGCGCCAAGTAAGACCCAAGTGTGATGCTCCAAAATTAGCTAGTTATACTCACATGCGAGTCCCTTGCAATTTTAGGCACCATAGCTGTATCAATAGGATTCTGTCTGATATTCTCATTGGATCCAGTGACATTCAGTATGGCAGTATTCGTGTACTATATGTTAGCCATAACGCTGTTCCAAGTTGGTTGGGCCATGGTACAAATTTCACATTTGTCAATCATTCCTGAAATATCTACCAGTCATACACATAGTTCTGAATTAACTGCTATCAGGTAAGTACGATCAGATCAAGAGAATTGAAAAAGAAACACATTAAAAACCAATACAAGGGACTAAAGTGACACTTTCAATGCCTATGCCGGACTGGAGGAGAGGGTCAAAATTCGCTGAGGGATTCAAAATCAATCAATCAATCAACTTTAATATTCCCAAGGAACAACATTTGTTCATAGCAGGGAACATGGTGAATATATATATCTATAAAGGAGACAGTAAAATGAGACTCACGCTCCAGAAGATATCTTTTTTTTAAGTTCATCAGTAGTCCAGTAACTTTGTCGCCTGAACATATGGGGGTAGTATGCGTCAAATCCGGTAGTTCTGATATTTTGCAGACTTGTTCATGATGTTGGCCTGATGAATGATCCAAGTTTGTCAAATTTTGGAAATTATAACCCTGAAGGACAGGTTTTTGAAAAAAAATCTCTCAAAAACGAAGCGTTTGAAAGTATATGTTTATATGGAATATTTTTTTATTTTTTCAACGAGTACTATACGCTGTTAAATTTTCCGTATTAAAAAACGGACTACCCTGTATATTTTGATAATTTCTTTCCTTTGCACACCCCTTTCACAACGAGTCACACGTAATATTATCGCCGTTTTCAGGTACACAGCATCAGTTTGTTGCAGCATCTCTGTATATTTGATTACGCTGATTATCTTAGGCAATGATGGTGAAACAGAAGTAATCGGGCCAAGTGATTTTTACAAATTCAAAGTGAGTTACCTACTTACAGTGTGATCAAAGAGTCTTGGCATTGGCGAGTTAGAGAAAGTAACAGTTAAGAATATTTCTACATCTTCTATATTGAACTTAGATGATACCGGGTGACCAGTTATATTCTGACCCATTTCAAATGCTTATATCTCTGAAACCATTCAAGTTATCGTTGTGCAGTTTGGACTAGTCTATTTTGATATTTTTCAAGTTTTTTTGACAGGTTTACCTTCTCTCTTGAACTTCCGGTTCTACCGGAAACAAACTAGCCATTATTCAGGTATAGGGCAACTTTTTTATTTCATCGAAGCACCCTGTATATTTTTGCACATTCAGAAAGACTGGTCTTTTCTCTTCCTAACAATGTATAACAGGTTATGTTTTCTTAGAAAACTATCAGAGTTATAACTCTTTGAAGCATCTACTGCATATTAGGATGTTATCCTGAAATGCTGAATTACCGTATATTGAGTATAAATCTGATGCAGATTTATGATGAGTTCATTTGCTTTTTCAGTCAAAGTCAAAGTGAACATTTTTTCAACTCGAAGAAGTACATACAAATGCTCGACAATCTTCATTTGACACATCTAATCTGGCATTTCATGTGTTGTGATTAGGATTTCCAGAGACGACTTTGGTTACATTGCAAAATCTCATTAAACCATTCCACATGCAGTTGTTGTTTCAAACAGTTATACTCTGATAGTTTTCAAAGAAAACATAACTTGTTATACATTGTTAGAAAGAGAAAAGACCAGTCTTTCTGAATGTGCAAAAATATACAGGGTGATTCAATGAAATAAAAAAGTTGTCCTATACCTGAATAATGGCTAGTTTGTTTCCGGTAGAAGCGGAAGTTCAAGAGTGAAGGTGAACCTGTTGAAAAAATATCAAAATAGACTAGTCCAAACTGCACAACGATAACTTGAATGGTTTCAGAGATATAAGCATTTGAAATGGGTCAGAATATAACTGGTCACCCGGTATAAGTAAGAACATTCTTTGTCTGTTTATACAGGGTGATTCATTGGGAAATGCGCGGATCATCAACTGAAAAAGTAGCTTTATTTCTACATAAACAGGAGTTGAGAGTAGCATATAGAACAAATAACATGTTGGGAAGGTTTATCAAAAATAATAGAGACAAAACTTCAAAATTCGAAAAATCAAGGAAATACAAACTCAACTGGGGATCTTCTCCTAAGGTATACAGGGTGTTTCATTACTGAAATATAGAGATTTAACCCAAATCACCAAGATAAAATATGTCACATGTCTGAGTTTTATTCAAAAATTTCGAAATGGTTTTTGCCCAGTTCTTCAAAAATATTTGACGTATCACTTTCATATTTGGAGGGAAGTGTAGGTATTATACACCCAACTAAATTATGTGGAATGAACTTCTCTAGCTATTACCAGAGGCGTACGACAGGGTCAATTAATTGGTTGATCCCTCCCAAATTCTACGTCACTGGCAGAATTACAATTCTATCACAAATTTTCGATTCTCCAACAATTTTGACGTAGATATTGTACTCTTCCTCCATGGCGATGGAGTCATTATTTTTCGAGATATTTCAAGTTAAACATAAATCTGCACAATCATTCTGATTTCAATGTGCATTAATTTGGTCAATATTTCGGATCAATGAATTGTATTCATCAATGAAATGAAACTTCAATCCATATGAACAATAAAAACATAATTGCATAACAGACAGGAGCTGTTACAGGGTGTTTAATAATGTAATATATTAAAAAATTTAAAACGCCCTGTAACAGCTCCCGTCTGTTATGTTCTTATGTTAATATGGATTGAAGTTTAATTTGATTGATGAATGCAGTCCATTGATACAAAATAATATGTCATAATCAATTCAATTTTGTCGAATAGAAAAAAACCTTTGATTGGTTGCACAATGAAATAATTGTTGACTTAACAAAATATGATGTTGTATTTAGTTAAATCTTTGTCAAATTCAATTTGATTTTGTCGAATAGACAAAATACATATGATTGATTGGACAATGAGATGATAGTTGGATCAACAAAATTAGTTTTATGTCAACTATAAATGTTGTTGAATGAAATGAAACTTTTGTTCGAGTAAGCAAATATTTTAATCAAATTATTTTGTCTCTTCGAATAGGTTGCTTATTTGGAATGAACATATATTCTGTAGATTTCACAAAATTATTGTTACGTTATTCGGGTGCAGAAGCGAACACGACACTATTTATTTTCGAACTGATTTATTTAAACTAAAGAAACACTAATTTATATCGAACTTATAACTACTATTTATGTAAAACGATTTATATAACGCGTTATATAACTGTCTCTCTGACACTCGTTGCTTAACCGTTGATTGATATATTACGCTAAGCGTAATATATCAATCAACGGCTTAACTTACTGACGCAGTTGTTCGGCCGTCTTATATATTATATATAAGATCCATTAGTAGGCTTTGGTTCGAGAACGTTCCGTCTCCTTCTTTTTGTTCTAGAAGCTTCTTAGAACAATACCTCTCTCTCTAATTGTTCCATCGATTGTTTCCAGAACATTCCAGAATCTTCTGACACGTTATTTGTCACCGCGGCATATATTGAGTGTTCGGAAATGTGCTGGTGCATGTAGGAATCATTGAGAGGTTGGAGAACAATCTGAGATGCGTGTTACAGGATGATCATTGTACTCCTGCCTTCCTGCTGATGTTTCTAGAGACCAACATTATTTTGTTGGTGCAACAAATTTTTTTTTCCGTGTAGGTAAACCACTCATTATCAGATGTTGTTTCAGGAGATTGCACTGATAATAACATTCATCGGTCTTCTATCATCGATGCTGTTCTACTGTGGATTGCTGGGTACCTACGAAAATGAGTATGAAGTGATCAGAGAAGCTGATCCAGAGGACATGAAACAACCCAGCAATCAAATCGGCAAGCATGTATTGAGATCTTGTGTCATATACCTTGTGTCCATTATGTACGTGATCGAATTATATACAGGTTGTCTCAAAATTGCTGGGATACAAAGCAACCACGTGTAAGAGAGGTAAAAATAAGTGGTTTGGACCCAAATACCAAAATGTACCGTTTGTCTGTGAAAAGAGTCCTAAGTTCACATGAAAAAACAGGTGCATTTATAGTAATTGTCCTAACAAGTGCGGAAAATAGTGATATATTCTCTCTCTTCTAATAATTAGCGATATATCTATTGTGTGTACCGTTTGAAGCATTATGTAGGTAAGCTTGTTGTGGAAGCCAGCATGCCCATGGTGTTTGGCCTCTAGGTTTCAGACATTTCTAGGAAATGAGCCATTGGCGTTTTCACTTTTTTACTATTGCACCATTCAATAAATCTCGTGTAGTGCTTGTCATACCTTTCTTAAGATTTCGTTGGCAATAACTCATCTGTACCGCATCTGTAGCTGGAAGTTTTTCATCGCAATTCCACTGAATCGAAAATGACAGAAACGCTCTAGTCTGTCTGTCACTCTGAGAATTACACTAACTTATTTGAGAGATGTATAGAAATTTAACTGGTGGGCTCACTCTTCAATTGTTTCGTCAGACTAACTCTCGATATGGAACAATTGCAAGCGAGTTTTGGACGTGGGGTTCAGGTATTTGCGATAGAGGCGCCATAATCGGAAAATCGTTCAAAACCTTGGTTCTGTTCTATTTCCATAATTGTTCTGTGGTCGAATAAATACTGTGCTCAACATTTTCATTCAAATTTCAATTTGAAATAATAGAAGCAAGAGATCTTTTTTGTAGCCGATTTTAATAAGCTTCACTTCTTTCATGGCATGAACCTATCTAAAGCATGAAATTTGATGAATTTCCTCCTTGAAGAACCAGAACAAAGAATGTATCAACTATTGAAATAGACCCATATCAAAAATCATAATAGGCAGATATGGTAACTGGTACTCACCTTAGAATTTATTCACACCAGTTCACGCTAATATTTCAAATCATTGAAATAAGTTGTAGAACAGAGATTTTCTTTTTTCTATGGTGGATTAGGTATTATACACAAAATTTAGAAACTACGGAACACGTTCCTAACGAACACTTGACCCCAATCTCAGAAATAACCATTTTTTCAGCTCAAGAATATTCATGACATATTGACGTTTCGATCCTTTGATCAGGAATCAGTTCACTTCTCTGATCCAAATCATATACGTATCCAAATATTTATCGGTCGGTAATATGTTTCCTGTAAATATGGATTGTAACCAGGATGAGCTTAGCGAGATTTACCCAGTTCAAGTATGTTTATCAAAGGTTTATCAGAGTAGGCGCCATCGAGAAACTTGCAAACGACCTTCGATAGGGAGCAAGCGCACCAGTTAAATTTCTATACATCTCTCTTATTTGTGTTTTGATTGACATGACAACAATTGTTTCCCACATCAGATCAATTGAAGGCTATAGGGGGATTAATAAAACAATCAATATTTTTTTTTCAATATTTCTCCATTTTCACAATAAATAGTGTAATTTGATGGATGATTTTGTATAAACTTACTGAATACTGCACTACTGCGGGAAAATGACACTGCCCAAACTAAATTGGGTGCGGGTATAGGGTGAATCACGCATGCTTGTAGAGAACATTTTTTACTTTGAATTGACCTTTGTATTGATGATTGTGGCTGAAATATTGAACATTTATCATAACTTTCAACTAAATTCGTATCACAATAATGTTATTAAACTTGTACTGGGAATATCTGTTAGCATTATTGAATATAATTTTCTTTCCTCCGGAGATATGAGAAGGAGGTAGGCACGTAGTATCTACAAGAGGAACAAAATGAAAATAATTAATCTGTCTTGTAGTTAAAAAATTTGATAACCGTATCATCACTTTTAAGAATGTTCCGAAGAAAATGTCAGGGGGTGAGGGTAGTTTTCAATCCTTCTGCAATTCCTTTTGAGCTCCTTCGATTACTGAAAGGAGAATACTTAATCCTCTAAAATCCTCTTTTTTCGAATTCCATTGAATTTGTTTCAACCATTTCTGAACAACGAATAAAAATGTGGTATATAAATAAATTGAGTCCAATCAACTTATTTTGAACTCTATTACACGTGGTAGGATTGTAACCCAGCAATTTTGGGACACTCTGTATATCTAGTATCTGATTTTATCCATTTTGATTTCGATGATGATGTTCTATATAGGCTACCATAGTCCGTAAATATCTTGAGAAAAAAAAGTGCAACATAAACTGTTCAACATCAGTATTCAACGTCTACCGAAGTCTTTTTTTTCCAAATCGACTGATATAGCTTTTTATTGAATTCGGATATTTTTCCAATTCAACAATGTGTCAATTTCAAGTTGATATTTGAGTAACTTTTATTTGATGGAATGTGTTGAAAATCGGTAATTTCGTTTTCGACCGTTTCATTAAAAAAAAAATGAATATCAAGCAGAATTTGATGAAATAAACAGACAAATCATTTTTCAACAAAAAAATGTGTTTTTCGGTTCTATCAAATTTCGAAAATTTTCAAAGTGTGTGTATATATACAGAGTCCTTCAAAAAACCTGACTCCCTTGCTAGGGTAGATAGAACACTGTAAAATAAGTAAGATTTGTTCAGTAAAAAAATTTAGTCTGAATTCTTTCTGAATATGATGTATTATGAATGGAATTCTCAAGTCTGCAGTCGGCACGCAGAAATATTTACCCGCGAGACTCTCGCACGAGACACGAGAAGTCTTGCGCGAGACTCGAGACGAGACCAATGAAAGTCTCGTCTCGTCTAGTCCGAGTCTCGTCTCAAGTCTTGTCTCAAAAACGAAACGAGACCATGCGAGACTCTCGAAAACGAGACTCTTGCGGGCAATACTATTTCCAAATCGAAATTTACCAAGAGTACCTTTTTGGTAAAGAATTGAATAATTTTCAAGTTGACATCAAATTTGGATAAAAAAAAACATTTCTTCAACACCTTGTATCTTAAAACGGGATGCCGTTATGAAATTTGTTTACGAAGCAAACCCAACTTGCAGTGTTCTACCTACCCTAGCAAGGGAGTCAGGTTTTTTTGAAACATACTCACTGTAGAACTCTGACTTTTCAGGTATATGACCTCAAGACTTTTCACAACTTTGAATCTCATTTACATGCCTCTGTACATAGATGAAAGAGGCTCCTTCAATGTTGAGAATAAAGAGAGAATGAGACAAACTATAGCCAGTGTTCCGTTGGTATCCTACATTGCATCGTTTTTGACAGCCATATTCTTGAAATTCAGATTACGAATTTTAACTGATAAAGTAAGTTCAATCAAGATTCAATAATTATAGATTGTCCCTAAATGAGTTTTCACAAAAAACTGCTACATATTCCTCAGATTAAAACATTTCGATACAAGCAAACTCCGTAAACAGACACTTTTTTTAAATAGAGTAATAAGATTATTTTGGCTTACTGTATCAGCCCTATCATTTACGAAATGTCCTTTTCTGCTGAAGCTTAACGAAATACACTCAGTTTCAAAAAAAATTACGCACTTGATATTTGACCTATCTTCTTAAAAAAAAAAAATAGGGGCGACCAGAACCGACCCTCCGAGCGATGCTTTCTGTTTGTTCGTACTTGCGGATTGCTCTACGAGCAGTTGCTTCATGAAATCCCACTGCACGAGCGGCGTAACGTTTACTACGCCCATCGTTTACTAACGCAACTAATCTTGCTACTTGTTCAGGATTTATTCGAGGCATTTTATGTAATTTTTCGGCAATAAAACAAGACACTTAATTAATGACACAACGACAAATGGTCAAATATAGAGGCATACAACAAATTAGTTGCTATGGTAACAACATTTGTTTTTTTGAAGACGATGTGATCCTACCAGAGTACAACCCAATCAATTTTGAGTAGGTACTCTGATCCTTCAATAAACTTAATTTGTGAGATAAGCGTGAGGTATCAGCAAAAAAGCTGTAATTCGGATAATTTTAGAGATAAATCAATGAATGAAATAACAAAATGCCCGTAAAAGAAGCCTCTTTGTATACCATTACTCAATTAACACACAGGGTGAGTCAAAAATTAAGAATACATCATGGTTCGAGTTATTCCATGCACCAGCATCAAGGAGGCTTTGAAAAGATTTTCACCTCTTTATTTTTTTTCAGACAAATGCATTACCTACCAACAAATAAAAAAAAATGAAAATCGGCATACCTACCTACTATTTTTTTTCAAGTGCGTCACTTTTTTTGGAACTGAGTGTAGCTTCCATATTCTCAAACAGAAAAGTATTATTTTACAAAAATATCAATTTTCATTTTAGGTAACCTATTTTCTGGGATCATTGTGCGGTTTGATGGCATCAGTTTGGATAGGCATTGGCATATCGGCCGTATTAGATGCTGAACTCTACATAATAGCCATTTCCATAGGTAAATATAAAAAATGCCTGACTAGAAAATATGGACTTTCGGAAAAATTTCGAATTTAAAAAAAATATTATTGCATGATGTTAGTTGATGACTGATACTGCATGTTTTTATAACGAGTGTTCAAAGAATTCGACAAACAACGCTTCAGAGGTGAAGGCCCTCAATAGGTCTTCAAACGTTCACGTTCTGAGATACGGATAAAGATTATTATCAATATTAATATTAATTACTAAAGAACAGTTGATTTTTACCACGCTATTATTAGCTTGGTATGTATGTTTGCATGTTTGTATGTAATGCGGAATCTTTGAACGTGATTTTGACCCATTTCAAAACCTCCCATTATCCTGATCAGGATCATCAGGATGAACAATTTTTCATCAACATTATAAACTCAAGAGCTTTTTTTAACGGATAAATTTCTCTTGGTAACGAAAAACATTGGCCGATCAGTAATGCTACGAGAAAGAATGACATGAAAAAATTGCGATACCGTAGGTCGAGCAATTTTATCTAATGTCACGTGTAACGAAATTTATCCAATTGAAAAAAAAGTTCGAGTGTTTTTTGGCAAGATATATCCACGACAATATACAAATAAACAACAATATAAGGATTACCTTATTCATTGATGATTCCGTGTAACTGGGAGTTGGTGAAATTGATTTTCTCATATTTTCGTGGTTTCTTCAGACGGAATTTTCCTAAAACGGTTCATCTTGCTAATTTACGCGTGAACCATACCCATCAATCAAACTTGACACGACAGAAATTGGAGTGATAGTCCAATAAATAAAGGGAAAAAGTTAACATTAATTACGCACTATTTTCATCTTCCGGTTGGAAGTAGCTTTTGGTACCTCATTAAACATGAGACAAAGTTTGACTGGAAAACGCGTGCGATGGCGGAGAAAATGGCCCCAAAAGACCAGGAAAATAGGTTTTCAGCCAATATCTCCTAAAATATGGCAGTTAGAGATTTTCGGTCCAGATAAAAATTGAAGTTCAGTTAATTTTCGACAAAAATGGTCCTCATCATTTTTCTCGAAAATTTGCCCGGTTCAGAGAAAAACGGCACGAAACGCATCTCGAATAATGAGCTTGTGTTGTATGCCGGAGAGCACAGTCCGTGTATTTACACATCGGCGGGGGGACAAATTATTCAATAACTTTGTTAAAAATGCATATTTTCTCATGATTCAAAGTTCATGTGAAAGAGGAATTCTGCTGCTATCATACCCTGTGAATTGAGTCACGCTTGACTCTTTTGGCCATATCGGAACATGGGTGAAACTTTCTGCTCCCGGTCAATTTTGACCTCGCCAGGAATTTGTTCCTATTTTTTTTGTATTGCACTAATTTACTCAAAATTTCCTTGATTATGGGTCCTCATAAGGTCCTTTGTCATCCCTGAAATTTGTTTACCATAATTTTTTTAAATTTTCATTTAATCTTTGTTTATTGAATCCCAATTTTTTGCTGTTTTTGAAGCGCGGGGAAATTTTGTGAACAACCATCAATTAAAAATGAATACATGATCCGATTGGTTTCTATGATACATCATTTGAAAGCTAAGAAGGTCTACTTCTCGATTGTGCAATCACTTTTTTAGACGAAGTCGTCCATTTTTCAATAAATTTTGAAAAAGCGGGGTCAAGGAAAAAACGCACTTTTTTTCGGTGGTTTTTTTCTCCGTGCTCTTTATTTTTAACATTTAAACACCTTAACTAGTGTAACGGGGGAATTCCCACCTTTCCATCGATGTATATAAGTTATACCTTTGATATCCCGGGAAAAAACCAGTATATCTAAATGTACACGCTATAATTTATTACTTTCGTTCCTCCGTCGTTCGCCGCGTGTGTGCTCTACGTGGCGCTCGGGTCGTCTGCTACAAACCATGCGGCCACGCAGGGTATGATAGCAGCAGAATTCTTCTTTCACATGAACTCTGGATCATTAGAAAATATGCATTTTCAACAAAGTTGTTGAATAATTTGTCCCCCCGCCGATGTGTAAATAAACGGACTGTGCTCTCCGGCATACAACACAGAAGCTTATTATTCGAGGTGCGCTTCGTGCCGTTTTTCTCGAAACCAGGCAAATTTTCGAGAAAAACGATAGGGACCATTTTTGTAGAAAACTAACTGAACTTCAATTTTTATCTGAACCGAAAATCTCTAACTGCCACATTTTAGGAGATATTGGCTGAAAACCTATTTTCCTGGTCTTTTGGGGCCACTTTCTCTGCCATCGCACGCGTTTTCCAGTCAAACTTTGTCTCATGTTCAATGAGGTACCAAAAGCTTTTTCCAACCGGAAGATGAAAATAGTGCGTAATTAACGTTAACTTTGCCTTTTTTTCCTCCTTCATTTATTGGACTATGACATCAGGCACAAATATCTACTAGATCAAAGGAGCAGGCAGTTAATCAATGATGAAAAATGTTCTCTTTTTTCCATGTCAAAATGACTTACGTCTTCGTTAAATTAATCATTCCAGAACTACGTCATTTGACAGGTTGCTGAGGGGCAAACATTGTATTTTGTCAAGATTTGTCATATAAAACCAGAATTAGTGGGATCGTTTTCCTTGGAATCCGAGTTGGAACCAGAAAGAATTTCATAATTTTGCTTGGTGAAACTGTTATTATATTGTGGATGTGGCAGGGACGGCCAGAGCAATGCTCATCAAAGGTAACCTAATAGATAGTTTGTGTGCCTCTCAAGAAACCATGTCAAAATCACGTGTTCTAGAATGATCAATAGGGTTTTTCGTGTAGGAGTTGATTTATCGAATAAAATGATGAATTATCTTTCGCCACCAGAATTTCAAATGTTCCGCCACCAAAATTTTCAATGTCTGTTTTTATTCCTTCGAGTAACTTCTTACAATGATTTTTATATCGAGAGACAAAGCAGTATTTCCGAACTGAATTCTGATTTCTGATTCATGTTTTGTCTTGACTGATTGATTGTTATTCCTTACAAGGTATCAGTAGTTCATCAACCATGGTATCCAGCTTGTGCATAACTGCCAATTTCGTCAAAAGAAATGGTTATGGGGGTGGACTAGTCTACAGCGTGGTCACATTCACAGACAAGCTGATTTCTGGCCTAGTCGTCTTGATTGTCCAAAATTTGTAAGTGCCAACAATGATAGCAGCTAGCAGAGCATACAGGGTGTTCACGAAATATATACATTTTAGATGGCGGGACAATAGTGTGCCAGAGTACGATTGATTCAAAAACGGAAGTAAACGAGATGTATAGGTGTGAAACCATATGTTTATTAATTTGTTGTTTTCATAAATAATGATGTGCAATACATTTTTGGATGATATCTACCATTTTACTTGATTTTTTTGGGATTTTCTCTTCTCGTTTCTATAAAATAAAAATATGCGTATTATTTCAATATACAGTCTGTCCAAGATAAGGTTGAACAGCATGGGGATCTCGGAAACAGTAGGAGATACGAAGTCGTTTTAATGGGGAAAAAGTTGCGCATTCGGAGGCTCATATCAAGAGCCTTCGAAAATTTTCAAATTTATTTCTAGATTTTGAGTTATATCGAAAAAAGTGAATATTTTATTTTTTTTCTTCTTCATTATTACATATACAGAAGAACTGAAAATACTTTTTCGTGGCAACTTTTGATGACGTTTAACGTGATGATACCGACTTTTTTATGCGACGTTTCGTATCCGTAGAACCATCATCAACTTTTGTTTTTTAAATACGGTCCTGATAATTTTTTCACAGATTCTGAAAGGTTTTTTTATTCTGAATTCAACCATGTATTATACAAAGTGATTCGAATGTGTTTCGACCTATTTCTATCCATCATCACTGTTTTTTCGAACTTCCAAAGAAAAAGTGCCATCAGTTCCACTTATTTCTGATCAGTTAGTGTCAAACATTGATGGATTAATTATTCAATACTGAGAAGTGAATCAAAAATATTTCACTACATCATTCAATGCAGCGCTTAAAATTGTTGATGAATTCTTACACGAATTTCTTTAACAACTTAACTTTGACAATACCTACAGAAACATTCATAACAAATGTTCAAAATGGTAACCATTACTTTCTGAACAAAGATATCCTCTCCTCACAGTTGCTTCTAAGACATTACTAAGCATTTCTGATGGGGTTATTTTATTGAATGCTTCGATAACACTGTCCCTTAGTTCTTCATCATCAAAGTTATTTGCGTGTACAAAGTTTTTGATATATCCCCTAAGAAAAAATCCAGCTGTGTCAAATCAGGTGACCGCACCGGCCAAGGGACTGTAGAATGAGTACCAATCCATTTTTCTGGATGAAAACGCACGGACTTCTCTGGAATTATGTACCGGATCTTGTTGAAACCAACAGTTCTGAACTTCCGCAATCGGTAAATCATCCAGAGCTTCCTCAAGATGATTCTCAAGCAAATTTCTATAATGTTCGGAATCCTGTATTACATGATAAATGAAAGGACCAATAATTCTCGTGTACCAAATATTGCAACCCACATATTAAAGCCGAAACGGTGTTGGTGTCTCGCTGTAATGTATAAATGTTCATTTTCTCGTGAACAATAATGTGTATTTTTTCTATCGAAGATACCATGATTAGTGACCATGCTTTCATCAGTCCAGATGATTGTTCAAGGGAAATCTGCAAAATTTTGACATTTCCTGGTATACCACTCACAGAATGTCCTGCGCCTTTCGTCATCGCCTGGTTTTAGCGCTTGACATATTCTGAATTTGTATAGATGGAATTTTTGTTTCCAAATGAAATGGGTTGTTGATTGAAACCAGTTGATGAGGTATTAGTGTGTTGACTAATTTTCCTTCAAAATAAGTGAAACTGATGGCATTTTTCCTTTGGAATTTCGAAAAAACATTGATGATGACTAAAAATAGGTCGAAACACACCTAAATCACCTTGTATAATACATGGTTGAATTCAAAATAAAAAAACCTTTCAGAATCTGTGAAAAAATTATCAGAACCGTATTTGAAAAACGAAAGTTGGATCTTGGACAGACTGTATTTGTAGCATGACAAATCAGATGATTTGCCCCAAAATGTCTTTCCGTTCAACACATTTTTCTATCAGGGAGCTCAAAAGTAAAATCCAGTAGTTTGTCAGAGACAATTAGTTTGAAAAAATGTTTATTAGACTCTGACATATTACATTCAGTGCTGATCGTCCTATTCGCAAGATGAGATTTTAAAAGAATTTCAACAATGCTTCTGAGTCCTATCGATTCCAAGTATTTCAATAGATTCTCATGGTCAACTGTATCGAATGCCTTTTCAAGGTCAATGAAAATAGCTGACACGTTATTTCCCGTATCAAGTCCTTCTTGAATTTCTTGTACTACTTGCTGCTTGTGTACCACTATTTTCTTGGAAACCGAACTGATTATTACCAAAACTATATTTTTTGTTAATGATATTTGAAATACTCTCCTTCTGAATCTTTCCAAAATATTTTTGAAAATATGCTCAATATAGCTATTGGTCTGTAATTTTCTGGATCTTCAGCATCCCCACTTTTGAATATAGGTCTTAGTTTAATTCAAATAATATACATGCTACAAATGTACATCAGTACGTAAAGTGGTGAACTAACCATCTATCTATCTAAATTGTTTTTTGAATTCGGAACCTTTTTTTCGAAAACAGGGCATTTTCCTCTAGGGATTTATGATAATAAGAAAATTGTTCACCTGATGTGAATTCATTGAATGCTTTGTACTCTTTATAGAAATGAAATATAATCGAATTCATTTTCAGACAATGCAGTCCAAGAAGCTTGTGTCCGAATTTCTACAAAAACGTACTGACTTACATAGGTGCCGTCGTCTCTATACTGGGATTACTGTCGCTTGCGTTACTGCAATATCACCTGAAGAAAAATGTCCTGAAGATGAAACCCGAAACTGGTCATTGATAAAGGTCGATCTGCAACACTCACATTATTAGGACGCTCTTTCACTTGATCCTTTAGGAGAAAACTGATGAAAAATCAAGACAAACATTGATTCAATGAATCTATTAGACAAGCCATAACTTCTAGAATATTGGGTGTATCGGTTTTGAATTTTAAAATGGAACACCCTATATATACAGGGTGAGTCATGACTAACCAGCCATAGCATAATGGTGGATAGAGGGCGTCGAGGTGAGTTGATATACAGGGTGGCCCACGAGGTTTTGGCCAGTCGATATCTCGAAAACTATTTGAACTATAATTTTGCCTATTCGTAAAATAAATATACAGGGCATTGTTTGAATTCGGGACGTACCTTTGATGAACGATATTTCCTCTACTAACACTCCATGAGATGGCCTACTATGGAAAAAAGAATCCCAGAGACGGACTTGGGAAATTCATTTTCTTTATAAATGTCATAATTTTGACTTTCTGGATCGTACTTTTCAAAAACTCTCATCAGAATCAGGAAGATCAGGGAAAATACTGCAAGTGCAGCTTTTAAATTTGTACGGCACACTTCTACCGATTGGGTAAAAAAAATCCAAACAAAATACTGATGAATATTTCTTCGATTTCGTCCGGGCATATTACTCTCTACATTCGACTTAAGGTATTGAAATCATTTCTATTTGTATAGTGAGATACCAGCAAAGTTGGGAATAGGTTTTTCTCCAGTAAGAAAATTCAGGACCGGACTTGATTTTTGGAAAAAACTACAAAACAATTATAATTTTCGAAAAAGCTTTGTCTATACCTCAACAATCTCAACGTAGATTCTCGAAATGCCCTTCTCCAATTTCTTCACATTTTTTGAATCTCGTTCACATGCAATGAGATCATATTCGATAGTTCTTCAAAAGTTTCTCTATGTAGTATGAGTAGGCACGTATATCTGATTCGGATAGAAATCTTTCACCAAAGCAATAATTCCTCATATTGAGTGCAATGTTTCCACATTTCCACATGTAGAAGCAGATTTCAATTGGAAATTATTTATGTTCATATTTCAAAGGTCTCTTCCAGAAAATCAAGTCCGGTCCTGAATTTTTTATCGAATAGAGCCTCTTCTCAACTCTCATGATACACCGATATGCAAGGAATGGATTTAAATGAATTTGTCGAACGATTTTACTACAATTTATCCGTGCGAAATCAAGGAAACGTTGACCGGTATTTTGTTAGATAATTTTTCAACAATTTGGTCGGAGTGTGCCGTACAAAATGAAAAGCTACACTTGTAGTGTTTTTCCTGATCTTTGTGATTCTGATGAGAGTTTTCCAAAAATACGATCCAGAAAGTCGAAATTATGACATCAAGAAAATGGATTTCCCAAATCCGGCTCTGAAATTTTTTTCCATAGTGTCTGTAGAGGTAAGTTGCTGATGAATTTCAGGCGATAACATGGAGACGTTGCTTAAATATCGTTCATCGAAATTTCGCCCCGAATACAAATAATGCCATGTATTTCTGTTACAAAAGACAAAACATATTTTTTCACTTATATATCAACTCACCTTGACTTCCTATATCCTCCGTTTCCACCCTGTATATTATTATAACATCTCAACTCTGGATCTGAATATGATGTTTTTAAAAGTTTTCACGCCCTGCTTAATTTTTTTAGAGCCCCTTCTAATATTGTTTCTATAATAGGAGGCCATGATCAGACGTTAAGTTATCCACGGACATCAGGTAATGTCAGAAAATAATAATCGCGTAGTTTTAGTGACTTGCATGATAGATTGGAAGAAGACAAGTGGTTAGGCTATCAGATGGCGGTGTCAAGTCAATTTCCACTATATTGTGACATTCCCCCTTTTTCCCATTGTCAATTGAAGAGTGGAAGTAACAAAGGTGCTAAGTGCCATAATTCCATTAAATGAGATATTACCGTAGAACGGTGTTGAACGACATGCTTTATGTCCTGACAAAAGCTGTAAGTGCCATGAGTAATATTATCCTTTCAATAACAACAATTAGATGGAGCCAGCGGTATGCGACAACGGTTATTTGTCATCAAAGGGGGCAAGTACCAGAGTGAATGGGGAAGACCACTGAGGGAAGAAATCCGTGCAAACCTCTTTCAATCGACGAATCATAATTTACGTTTGATCTACAATCATTATTATGAGTTGAAAATGAAGGGAATCGAATCTATATCGTTTTGCATCAGCATTTTTCATTCGTTATTTCGAAAAGCCAAATATGATGGTGGAGCTGTGACGTATTTATTTATTTATTTATTTATTTATTTATTTCTATTACATCCAACAGGCAAAGCCCAATTACAGGTGTAAATCTTAATATGTAAAGTAATACTTAGGATATACTGAAGAAAATGGGTTTGAACAAAATTCGATACATAGGTATATATACATATTCATATGTACACATTCATACATATATATGATGTGCATATTCAATTACTTAACGACCTTGATATAATTTTTTTGAATTGTGGTAGTGTCTGGAAGAATATATCAACATCTTTGAGTTTGTTATAACTCCTACACATTGAGGTGAGCGGACAATGGAAATGATGTTGTGAATTTGGAATAGCTATATGAAAAGTTATATTAGATCGAGATGCTATTCGAGGCACATTAAAGCAAAGTGACGATAACAAAGAAGATGAGTCGATTAGGTTATTCACTATTTTATAAATGAAGATGAGGTCAATTATTTCTCTGTGTTTTTTCAAAGAAATAAAATTGAATTCAGTTAGTAAAATTTCATAATTGTATCCTCTTTCCGGATAGACTCCATGCTTTTTGAAATATAGAAATTTAAGAAATTTTTTCTGTACCGCCTCTATGGCTGTTATATACTTCAAGTGGCATGGATTCCAAACAACACTATTAGTCCCGCACTGTAACAATCTCTCTCTGATACCTCGTCATTCTGCAGTGTTGCAGTGTGATTGGTGAGTTCAAGGACAATAGGCGTGTTGGGACTAAGACGTCGCACCAGTCTCACCAATGAATTGACAAAAATTCAAATGGCGCAGGAATTGTGTGTTTGGTATTGGTATTGGTAGGTTGGATGGTGACAGATGCGCTGCGACCCAATTAGATCTATTGTGCCCCATCTGCTCCTGCTATATCAAGGATTTCTTGTTCATAGCAGCCCCTCGAGATTCAATTCCTTCAGGAATTTGAGGATTTTGAGGGGGTCTAGCTGTGGTATTTCTTCCACAGTCAGCTGGTGTGTTCCCAGTATGTTCAATCTTTTGTGATGTACAGCGTCACACTCCATCAGTATGTGATGGGGTGTTTCTGGTTCTTCCTCACAGAATCTGCAGGTGCCGTCCTCCTGTAAGCCTAGCTTCCTTAGGTGTTCTTTGAGTCTGCAATGCCCCGTTAGAAATCCCGTTATTGCTTTGAGACTTCCTTTGCTGAGGTTTGTCAGTGTCTTAGATCTTTCTCGGTTGAAATTTCCAAGGAGATCTTTAGCCTGCCGTAGTCCTGGAAGTCTTCTCCATTGCCTGGCTCTCCAGGCTCCTTCCGCCTTCTCAAGTTCTCCTTGGAAATAGGAATTTCCAAGGCCGCAGAATGGCTCTGGTCCGATCAGTGGCGTTGAAGCCCCTTGTCGTGCCAGAGCGTCTGCGTGTTCATTCCCCTCCACTCCGATATGCCCTGGCACCCAGAGGAGGGTAACTTTATTGTTGCTGCCTAGCTCATTCAATTTGCTTAGGCATTCCCATACCATCTTCGAGTTGATGTAAGGAGAGCTCAACGCTTTGATGGCTGCTTGGCTATCGGATAAAATCGCGATGTCCTTCTTCCGGTATTTCCTGTCTAGGTTGAACTGGATGCATCTTCCTATGGCGTGTATTTCCGCTTGAAAAATGCTGGGGAATTGTCCCATGGATTCGAAGTATTTGGTGCGAGGCCCAAAGACTCCTGCTCCAGTTCCCTCGGGTGTTTTAGACCCGTCCGTATACCAAGTAATGGTATTCCTTCCCAGTGATTCGATGGATTCTGTGCTCCATTCGCGCTTGTTGCTCAGCTCCACTCGGAAGTTCTTCTCAAAACTGAACTTCCTAATGGTTTGGTCTGTTGGAAGATCGGCGAGGTGTGCGATCTCAGTGGGGGGTGAGCCCCATACACTGTGCGTTTTCCCTCTTAGTCCGACCTTGGCTAACCTGAGATGTGCTCCATAGGCAGTTCTCCTCACCACGATGTGTAGAGGTGTGAGATCCAAAATGACCTCTAGTGCTGCTGTTGGAGCTGATCTCATTGCTCCTGTTATGCAAAGACATGCCAGTCTTTGCACCTTCTCTAATATTTTCCTTGTAGTGGCGAGTTCGGTTCTGCCGTGCCACACTACTGCTCCGTAGGTGATCATTGGTCTCACTAGCATGGTGTACATCCATCGCAGTATTGATGGGTTACATCCCCATGTTTTGCCTGCAAGGTTCCTGCACACCATCAGTGATGATTTTGCCTTACTGGCGATCTTTTCTACGTGTCTATTCCAGAGAAGCTTTGAGTCTAGGATGAGCCCTAGATACTTCACTTCTTGCTGCCATTCTAGGTCTTCTCCGTTTAGACGGATGACTCTTAAGTGCTGAACCTTCGTTCTTCTAGTAAAAGGTACCAATGTGGTTTTCGTTGAGTTAATTCTCAACCCCACCGAATGGCACCATCTTCTGGTAGTCTCTAGCTCTCTCTCTATGAGGTCGCAGAGGGTGCCTTCAAATTTGCCTTTGGCCATGATGACTATGTCGTCCGCATATCCAAAGCAAGTTACTCCGTTCTCAGTAAGAATCCCGAGTAGTTCGTCTACCACTAGACTCCACATTAAGGGTGACAGTACCCCTCCTTGTGGACAGCCCCTGTTCGTACTGATTTGAAAGCTGCTCTCACCCACTTTCGTTTCAGCTGTTCTTGTGGTCAGCATTTGGCACATCCATCTGGATGTGGTTCTGTCCACGCCCTTGTTCATTAGAGCTCTCTTTATTGCTTCATGAGAGGTGTTGTCAAATGCCCCCTCTATGTCTAGAAATGCGCACATGGCGATTTCTTTATGCTCAAGTGATCTCTGGATGTTTTCGGTGAGCACGAAAAGGGCGGTCTCGGTTGATCTACCCGCCCTATATGCATGCTGTCCTAGGTGCAAGGGCACCCTCTCCAGTATCTCACATCTGATGTAGTTGTCTACGATCTTCTCCAGTGTCTTCAGTAAGAAGGATGTGAGACAGATCGGTCTGAATGACTTCGGAAGGGTAGGGTCCTTCTTCCCTACTTTGGGGATGAAAGTCACACGCGCTCTCGTCCAGCTGCTCGGTATGTACCCGGACGCCAGACTGA